TAAAATAGAGTGGATGTGATCTTTTGAGCCCCCTGGAAAGTTTTTATGAGTATCTTAAGTATTCACATAATAGGACAGTGTGGACTTAGTCTTATATTAAAAATTTCCTCACATCTAAAATGGAATGGTTCTAGGAAAAACGGGGGTGGGAAGGACACACAAGTGCCAGTGCTCACATATGTGCACACACATAGATACGCATACAGTAAAGAATTTATCCATTCTTTGCAATGCCTTTTCTCAAATAGTCACTGCATATTGGGCACCAGGTCTCTGACTTGCTGATTCTTATTTAGTATGACCTTTTCTTCTCAAATTCTATTAACTTAACAAATCATATTTTGATTCTGAAATCTTGAATTTAAATCCACTGAAATCTAGAACTTTTAATTCATCTATTCAACAAGTATGCCCTAGCAAAATAATAAAAAAGGAACATAAAGTAAAACAAAATGCTCAGTCACACATCTTGTGATTCAACACTGGTGATATCAAATGAGGGCTAGGGAAAATCTCCAATTTGTGGCTTCTCTGCTTAAAGCTGCCAAAAGCTGAGACCACATAACCATTTCATGTAATCCTCTACCCATCAACTTTTAAAAATGACATTTAGTCATTACTAACTTGAATAAATCTGAATACAGAATAGATAAGTTTTCTATCCTAACTTTTTATATTTTTTTCTCTTATGAATTATTTCCAGGACTTATTACTGTCAGTGACATGAAATGCCTACATATTTAGCCAACTAAGTAGATATATAGATCTGTGATATCTAATTTCTCTTTGTTTTCTGATTTTTAATTATCACACATAAATCAAACACAATTAACAAATATATTGCAAATTTGGGTCAATTATATTTAAATTTTATGCTCAAGATTTAATGTAATTGGAGGATCTTTCAGGAATAAATTTAATTAGAATAAATATAATTATCTATGTTCCTAGTAGCAAAAATAAATGTTAAACTGTTGGTTACAGAAGATATTATGCTTAGTATAGATATATAATTGTGGATTAAATTTTGTGTCATGTTTTCAGGTGTGTGCTTTAAGAAACTTGTATTTTAAAGTTATCATGAACTTTATAAGTAGTCTATAAGAAATCATGTAGTTTAGCTTCATCCCAATTTTTCTCTTTTAAACTTCAATGACACACCTATGCATCATAGCTTCCAAGGTCAAAATACCACACCTTCACAACTTTTGAAGAATTTTTAAATCTACAGTCAGGAGCATCCTAAATAAAACTTATACTTAAATTTTTATAAAATCTTCCAAAATGACCAATATTAAA